ACATACATACATACATATATATACACATACATACATACATACATATATATACACATACATACATACATACATATACACACACATACATACATATACATATATATATACATACATATACATATATATACATACATATACATATATATATCACATCGAACACTGCATAGTGGGTCAAAGGTTTCAGCTTCGGACAAACTATTTTCTCTACAGGCTTTAGGATCTAATTTTAGCCTTCCCTTGTAGACAGTAGAAGAATATTACAACCTGGTTGTACTTGTGGCTAGTACATCATTTGTGTAATTATTAGTCGTGACTGCTCACAGCAGCAGGTTGAGAGGACTGGCGGGGTACATGATCAGGCCTGAGTTATGACCGGCATGTAGCAGGAATGGCCATAGGGCTGATACTGGCTGCTGCTATGATGCAACCATGCATTTTAAAGGAATAGCTCAACATTTTGGGAAACACGCTTATTCGCTTTCTTGCCGAGGATTTGACGAGAAAGCCAATACCACTCTCATATCTGCCCGGAGCTAGAGCCGGGATACAATTAGCTTAGCTTGTTATCATAAAAGAAAGCGGGGGAAACAGCTAGCATGTAGGGGTGTTTATTACATGTATGAATGAATCATTATCACATAATCTTTGTAGCAAATGGTAGGCTGCTGAGCTACTGAACTTATAATCAGCGATTGTCTAGGTATAGGTTTTTCCTCCTGGGGCTCGATAAAGTTTTATACTCATATTTTAGATCATGATCAGAGTAAATTACAGCTGTTCCCCCTAATTATATATTTTCTTAAATGTTGTTTTCTTTCCGACCAGGCTGTTATTGGTCTCTACATATTTTTATTTATTTGCCTAAAAATCAACCTGCACAAAAACTTTCTAATTGCGGGCCATTTCGTACCAAAGCCACATAATCGCACCATGACCAATGTTTCTTCAGCAGCTAATCAATGTTGAGTTACTGAAATATTTGGCCCAGTTGTTGCTTATACACAGAAATAACAGCGGTCAAAAAAATTGATCTCTGTGGAACACTGGAATTTCTGACCACATGATAAAAGCTAAACTAGTTTGGAGCCAGGCCCTTGAAGAATTGTTTCAAACATTTTGGGAAATACACCGATTCACTTTGTTGCTGAGAGTTATATGAGAAGACTCGACACTGCTTTCATATCTGTGCGCAGTCAGCAGCTGGTTAGCTTAGCTTAGCACAAAGTCTGAAAACAGGAAAGAACAGCTAGCCTTGCTCTGTCCAGAGTCCAAACAATCCACCTAACAGCACTTCTAAAGCTTACTAATCAACACTTTATATCCGTTTGTTAATTTGCACAAAAACAGAAACGTTAAAACAACAAGTTGTGATATCTATGGGAGCAGTGACTTCCTGGGGTTTCCTCTGGTCACTTGGTAATCTCACATTGCCTTAAATCTCCAGGCTTTACCTGTAAAACCATAATTTTTTTCCATTTATGCCACGAGCAGAAAATATTTTTCTACAAAAGGGGGGCCCTGCAGAAAAGGGTTTTGAATCATTGACTGGGACACGGCGATAGAACGGAGCAATCATTAATGTTATTTGCAACACAAGCTTCAATCATGATGTCGGCTGTGTGTTTAGATTGACTGACCCGGGAGCTCTATTACTTGAATCACCTGTCCTATTCTGTCATTCAGATGATATGTGCTCGTTATCCTGGAGACGGTGAAACATTGATTTTGAAAAGTTAAACTGAAACGGCTGCTTCAGAGTTATGAACTCGGTCCTCTTTCTTCATATTCAGTATCACATCTTGAGCAGTGCCAAGTTTCAATTAGGAACGTGTCCCCGAAACAGTGCAACACACAAAAGGTTAATTGTCTTACTTCTATTTGGGGGATAATCATGTTATCATTTTTGAAACTACAGCTCACATAATGCTTTGGAGGATGTAATCAGAAAATATAAAGTCTACAAGCCACCTTCTTATCGCCTATAATTGTTTACATTTTGGCAAATTGGCACTAGGGCTGAACAATCTTAACAAAAACATCGAATTGCGATTACTTTGACCGACTTATTATTCACATTTTCACTGAAAAACTTGATGAACGTGATTTCTGCAGGGATCTGTACCAAACAAAGATGTTTTCTTCAGTCTGTAGAATGTTATTTGGAGGCCAGGACATCTCTGCAGCACCAATATATTTAATTTAAAATGGTATGTTGACGCAAGTCACACTGAATCTATAAATATATGCATCATGTCATGTGTTCAAATTTGACCACTTTATGACTGAGAGAAGGAGTGTGATTTTTGCAATCACGCGCTATGGCTTTTTAAGTACCTTTAATTGCCTCCAGTAGCAGCCTGTAGGCCTTGTAGATGAACAGGCCAAATCAGCATCCAATCCACAGTAACTAACTTCCTGTTGGCATACACCTGTCCCTTTCACCTCACGCAGCATGCTAGCCTCACGTCTGTCCCTCCACGACCCCCTCTTCAGCTCTCCTCAGTTTGAAAACCTCTGGAGAAGCTTGACATTTTTCTTTAGCTCCTTGTAAATAGAAAACAACCATATTTGTCAACGACAGAGCTCGGTTGTGCAGCCGTGCATCATCTGTGCCCAACCATTATTCACAAGGACCGATATTCTGTTACAACAGGAGAAAGGCAGTGCGGGTGTTTAGTGTGTCATGCACGAGGTTTGTGTGTGGAAAACTAAACTATACTTCCCTAGTGAGGGGAAACTCCTTTGACTGAGGACCATTAAGAACTTTTACAATCAAAACCAGAAAGAAAAGTGTTTGTTTACCTAATAGAGGTGTTGCTATTGCTAAAAACACAAAACCTTGAAAGGCTGTTCTTTTGTTTACTTGGAGTAATAAGGATAAAACTTGCCAATGAATGCATTGGGGGACAATCCCCAAGCAGAAGCAGCTCGGTGTCGCTCTCCCACTCGTCATCCGAGCCGTCCCAGTATCTCCGGCGCTGACCCGAGGACTGGGACCGGGTGACCACTTTGGCTGACGAGACGGTACCATCCTTGGACTCCGTGTTCGAGTGTCCAGGAGTGGACTGGAGAACCTTCCCCGCATTCTCGTGTTTGTCCTGCAAGCCTTCCCCCAGAGGTGACACAGTCTCCGGCTCTTCATCGTTGTCGTCGTCCTCAAACAAAGAGGATTCAAAGTGGAGGAAGCCGTTAGCGAAGGGGCTGTTGCTGTCGAGAGAGAAGGCCGGGCTGGGTGGGCCCGAGAAACAACCTTCCGTCTTTTTCTCAGACACGACGGGCTCGCCGCGATTGGCTGCTGGCGCGTCCCTACTTCTAGTTTGGACGACGGGTTGTTTTTGTCCAGCAGCAGAGACACCAAAGCTCTCCCCCCTGCTTGTGTTCTGGGTACCAGAATAATCTCCGCTAGTGCAATCGGCCCAGGAGTCCCTCTCCATCCCCTTCCCCTTCCCCTTCTTACTCCCCCCCCACTCCCAGCTCCTCTCTGGCTCCCTCACCGGCAGGACCAGGTCCGGCTGGCTCACCATGGTGGTGAGATGTTGCAGCCTCCTAAGAGGACTGTAGGTGGAAGGAGAGGAGGATGATGATGAGGAGTGGTCTCTTTGTGTAAACCCATAGACGGACGCATGCTTGAGGGAGGACGCGGCGGCAGACATGGTTAGCCCGATCCTGTGGTCATGGTGTCTGGAGGCGCAGGAGTGGGAGGAGAGGTCACGGCTGGGGGTCAACGGGCAGCTGGACTGATGAGTCTCCCTGCCAGGGCCTGGGTAAGGCCCACTCATGCTGGCATGGTTCCTCCCTGAAACATGAAGAGAAAATGATCAGAGGCCACCAAAACAAATCATAAACAAACATTCTGCACATTTGTCCTTGCATCAAGGCTCGTTGTAGTATACCTGTGGAACCCAGCTGTGATTTGGTTTAATTTCATGATGACAATCCTTCAACAAATTACATTCTATCCATGGTTGTTGTTTTTTTGCACAACATGTTTCTACAATCTGTCATAACATCACTGCAGCTTGTCTAAAGTTATCCCAGGCAGCTGGTGGCGAGATGGTTTTAAAAAAAAAAGTGACACAGCTAAGCCATCAATTCCGTGAAATACAACACAAACCTGCCTTCACATCATGCCGAAATAAAACGTAAACAGACTCACTGACGACCAGCCGATCGACCTATGGTGACATTTTGGGGTTTTTTTGGAAGACATTCTGCGCAAACATCGCAACCGCCGCTATAAAGCCTTCGAGGGGAATTATCGCGATAAGATACAAATTACATCAAGTAGGATAAGGTCAGCAGCATGTAAACTCACGCTCGTGCATACACTGCACGCACACACACACAATAAAGGAAATGAATTACATCGAGTCATGTTAAAATCAACCGTCACACACGCCGGCGCTGCAAACATCAACTGGAAATAAAATGGACCCGTTCGTGCGCGAGCGCGCGTGTGCATAGATGTGTGCCACTGCATGTGTGTGTCTGTCTGTGTGTGTGTCGCTGGTTGCTTGCATGCTTGCACGAGACTAGAGACACAAATCGCCACATAACACGAGACGACACAAAACAAGTTTACCAACACACACTGACACACAAACACGCGCGAAGACACACACACACACTTGTACGGGCTTCCCTCCCCGACTGATGCAGGCTATGTGTGCATCAAACAACAAAAATCACGGAGAAAACGCCGAATGACACGGGATCTGTCGCGAGAATCTTACCATTCCGGTGTCGGCCACCGCAAACGTGAACCTCAACCCGCTCATTTTGGCGTTTAAATGTGCCAATTTCGGATTTTTTGAAAGCGGATGAGGAGAGTCCCAGCGGCAACACTACTAGGCCTGGATCCTGTGAAACGTACTCACTGACTGCCCCCTCCACCTCCCTCCTCCTCCTCCTCCTCCTCTTCCTCCCTCCTCCCCTCTACATGCGCTAAAGCCTGGTCCAGCGGCCCCTGGAATCGAGATTCAGGCGTGTTGTGCTCCTCCAGCGATACCCCCCCCCCCCTCCCTTTCTGCTTTGTGATAACTACAACTTTATAATTCGCCCTGTGTGGATTTCCGCTCTGTTGAAAGGCTATTTCCTGCCTGCCCCTTGAAAGTCACTCTCTCTGTCTGCCGTGCGCACTGCCAGTCGTCACCACTGCCTCCCTCCCCAAGCCGGTCCACAGCGTGGAGCACAGAAGGGGCCGTAAATCTCTCTCCCAAGAAAAAAAAAAGAAAAAGAGTTGACTGCCACCTAAAAAACCCCAGAACGTACAGGACAACCACATGACACCTCCAAAATCGAGCCCCGCCCCTGCCCTTAATTACAAGCCTCAATTATTACCCTAAACCAGGCTGCCATCACCATTGACATGTCACATGCCAAACTTGTGCCAACAAACTGGCCCCTTCTGCCACCACCACCCGACACGCACTTGGGCCAGCACACATGCGCCTGGAGACGGAAGAAAATAAAGAAAGAGAAGTAATTAAAAAATAATGTCCACCACTAACACCTCTGAGAAGCAGTGAAATGGTGCAGCAGGCTACCCAGAAAAACAGATGGGTTTCCCTTTTCTGAGACGAGTTGCTGTGTAGGATCTGGCTGCACACCCGGTCCCTTCAAAATGGAGTCCTCCAGCCTTAGAGGAGGAAAAAAAATAGAAGCAGGCCACAAAGTGTTAATATATGCTCGATATAAAGTTCACCCAGCCACGGAGAAGCTGAGCCTCAAAGCGCACCTCTTCTGAGCCCTGGGTGTGTTGCTGGTGGCTGGAGTCTTGAATCAGCCATGCCACGACAGGAACATTTTCCCTACATGCAATGCCTCCCAAAGTCACTGTCTCGTGAGCGTTTGTGCCACGACAAGGGGGGGACTGAGGACTGTGTGTGAGTGTGTGCGTGTGTGCCAAACGCACGTCTCACTGCTCAAAAATTAAACATTTAATGGCACTTTAAGCGTCGATTGTGCGGTGGGAAGAGGGAGAAACACACGGTTTCTGTTTGTTTTAATTCTGTCCAGAAACGAAGGGGTGAAAGCTGGAAAACAAACTGCAGCTTCTCGGCCGGTGAGCTGAGCTGCGAGATTTCTGCGTTGGTGTGTTTGAATCTTTATGGACGGGGGGAGAGATTTGGAGATTTTGGAGACGATATGTCAGTGAGGACAGAGAGGGCGATGTAGAAGGGGTGTTTCAGGTGTAAAATAATAATACCCCCTCCACTCTCACACCACTTCACTCTTGTCACCGGGAGGCGATATGGGAAACGGCGGTTATGATCGACACGGCCGCGCCACACAGCAAACCTTCCTCTTCCTCCTCCTCCTCCTCTTCTGCAGATTCAGAATAAAGCTCGGCCGTGTTTAAAATGAAAACACGAGACTCTGCAGGACCGTTCATGTGAATGTTATAACGTGTTATGAAACCTCTCGGTGAATCTACCAGCTCCTCACTTCACACGGGTTTAAAAAAAAACTCAGCTGAGAAGGAAACACGGATGATTTAGGATGCGTTTTTGCTTTTCAACCTCGATCCTAGCAGAAGAGAGGTCTGGGTGAGGACGGGAGAGACAGACAGGACAGAGAGAGAGACTGGCAGACAGGGACAGGCAGACGGGGACAGGGCCTGCTGCGGGTTTACGCAGCGCAAAACAGCGCCGCGCACCGGCAGCAGCGCGCACCCTCCCGGTGAACCGCCGTCATTAGCAGACAACCGTTTCGTTCTCGTTTTACAGGCAAACCGCGTGTCACTCTCTCCACTGTCGCATCAAACCAGGTTTTGATGAACAGTTTCTAGTAACAGTAATTAGATATGTGACACTGAACCAAAAATACACTCGTTAATGAACAATGAATACGCCTTTGAGCCTCAATGGGGATATCATAGTGATATGTGTCATACAAGACGTATACGCAGTGGTGGAAGAAGTACTCAGCACGTAGTATATTATTGTTACAAGTACAAATCCAGAAGTATTAGCATCAATATAAGCATAAAAGTAAAAAAGTACACACACAAAAGGGCCCATTTTTAGAATAATGTATAAAATTAGGCTATTGTTTGATTAAAATTGACATATTCATGTCCATTTATATGAATTAAGGTGGACTATATAATAGAAGCTCCTCTTCGTAACACAAACCGCAGCCTCCAAACTGACCACAAATTTAACCAAAACTGCCTAAAAAAACATAATTATCAGCTTCATAAAGGTGTTTATTGCTTTTCATTAGTTTTAGCTAAGTGTACCTAATAAACTGGCAGCTGAGTGAACATCAATCGTGGAAGAAGTATTCAGATACTTTATTATTGGTACATAGAAATACCATATCTTAATTATTCATTTATCATCAGATAAATGAAGTGGAGTTTAAAGTATAATATTTTTTATCTGAAATATAGTGGAGTAATAGTATAAAGTAGTAGGAAAGGAACTTGAGTTAAGTACAAATACTTAAGTACATGTACTTGTCACTTATACTGTTATGCAGTATAATAACACTACAATGTATGGTTATTTGTATTGTCTGTGTGCCAGAATGTCACAGAGGTGGAAAATAACTAACTATACCCACACGAGTACTGCTCTTAAGTACATTTTTTAGGCACTTGTACTTTACTGAAGTGTTTCTCTGATGGCATTGTACTTCTACTCGACTACATCTCAGAGGGGAATTTTGTACTTTTTAATCCACTGCAGGTATTTTACAGTTGTAGTCATTTTCAGATCAGGATTTTACATAAAAATACATACAACTTGTTTGGCTTGTGACCCCTTAGCCCTTAGCCGTAGTCATTTCACATGTCTATTAGTGTATTAGTTTGTCTATTAGAGTCCAAAAAAGAGTGCTTTTGGTTCATTTAAATAATATTTAGGGACCAAAGAAAATTATCCAACATTTCACAAAAAACTAAGATGAGAGAAAAGTACAGAAAGTGACTACAAATTTGTGTAGCAGATCTTAGTTTTTCTTATTTCCTATCAAATAAAAGAGTCTTCCACCTGAACATTATCAGACTCACAATGGACAGTTTCATTCAAAAATATTTACATTGATGCAGGAGAACCAGAGATATCGTCTGTTTTTATTCCACACATTCTCCTTCCTTGTCAAATTTGGCGCCTACATTACCCACAATGCAACTCGACCTCCAGCGGTTCAGGTCACAGATTCTGGTGTGTTCTGCTAGTGGTGGCTAATGTAGCCTGGAGCCTCCAGCCTGCTGCAGACATGAGCAGCGAGCTACAGAGGCCTCACTTCTTCCTAACTCCACACCGCCAAGAGTATTTCTCAACTTTACTTGTGGTCTTGAAACGAACTCAAGCGACATCACTACATAATAATACTATCTCCACCTTGAGCAGCTACAACAGTGAAATACTACGTGTACATTGATGAATCAGTGTGTACAATATAATACAAAGTAATATTATATTATCATCTATTAGCCACAGTGACCATTTTCCTGCTGAGTACTTTTACTTTACAGTAAGTAAGTCCGACCTCAGCTGCTCCTCGCTGCCACCCTTGAGTTTTAGCATGTAAAACATGAAATACATGCAAAAGATGACACAATGATGAATTATTTCTGTCACTAAAGCTAAAGCATCGAGGAACAATCATGACACACTTATCTGGGTTTATTTACCTCCAACTCATGACTCAGCTGAAAAGGATCAGTGGTTCCTGTTCAGGTAATATGAGGTCATGGTCTCTATAGACCTACTTTTGTTTGATAGGCTTTGAACCTGTGTTAGGTAACGATACAGAAGTAGGGTATCATGCTGCTCCAGGGCTGCGAACTGTGAGGTAATCTGGATTCCTGAACAACTGCTGGAAACATCATTTAATGAAGGGAATGCATGTAGCTAATAAAATGCTGTGGAAAAAGTACTTTTGCTTGAGTAAAAGTAGAAATACTTTAATAATATAATAAAGCAAATAAGCATACTTCCCAAAATGTTGAAATTTTCCTCTGTTTGCATATCAAGGTGTTTACTTCTACTACACTTCAGTGGGAGTTATTATAATTTATACAGCACTATATCTATCTGACAATGGACATTACGTGTTACTTTTACAGGTTTTCTCATTAAAAAAAGAGTAATCTCACCAAAGACAGCTGTTAAATATTAAACCAACCTGTATGACCTGTGACCTCTTCCAAAAAGAAAAGTCTTCTTGTGGCTTTATGAGGTGAAATGATCCGATGTTGCACAAAACAATATTTAACATTTGTGCAAAGTCCCAAAACTGAAATCAGATTTGTTAATCAGAACTTGGTTTCTTCTTCTTCTGTCTTCCATTAATCGTCTCACAACCCCTCAGATTGATCTGGTGACCCTAGGTTGGGATCCACTGGACTAAATTTGCGAAAATAGAGCAATTAAAGTATTGCATAGCTCCACCTCGAGCTGCTGACATTAAAATGCTTCAGTATTAGCAATCCAGTAATCTTAGATCTGATAATATACTGATTATACTTTTGTACTTTTACTTGTAATGAGTCCCTCTTCCACCATCGCCCTTCTGTTACTAAAGCCCCATTCTCTTGTAAGGACTCATACCGTCCACAAGAGGGCAGCACAGCACATTGAAAGAGCTGGAGGTTCAACACTGACTAAAAGATCTCACAGAGTGAGATCTTTTAGCAAATGGAGGCGACATCATCACATGTTTGAAGTATTTCCACTTTTGCATATCTTTGCATAATTTATATTCAATTTAATATTTATTAACAAGCCCCAGTGGAATCAGTGCTTTGTAGTTGTTGTACGTTTAACAGCCATACTGGTTGTAAGTCCCTCTGTCCAACAGAGAATAGAAAATTAGATAAATAAATATGAAATAAGTAAATAAAAGCTGAAGTAATACAGATATAAATAAACAAAACAATAAATACATGTTGAAATAAGTAAAGAAAGCGAAGTACAACAATTAATACACAAAATAATAAATAAATGCACAAACTAAATAATAAAATAATAAAAAATTTAAATAAAAGCTGAAAATAGATACAGAAATAAATAGATAAAATAATAAATAAATAAATGCTTGAATAAAAACAGAAACAGATCGTTAAATAGATTGTTAATAAAAAAGGGTAAATAAATAGGACATAAATAAATGTCGAAAATATATTTCTACATTTTATAAGAAATTATCAAAATGAATTAGAAATAAGTAGTTTCTCTTCTTTTGTCAGCATATTTTATTTATTGATGAAGAAGTCATTTTTTTGTTCTCGTGGTGGAGCGAAAGCTAGAGGAACAGGGCCGGCACGTTTAATACGACACCATCACAGCTTCTGCTCTGATGAAGCACACTGGTGCCTTCTAGTCTAGTTTACCTTTTACCTTTATGGTGAATACTAAAACCAATGTATTATTGTTTTTGGGTGAACTATTCCTTTAACCACACGAACAGGCTTTTTAACTTTAACCTTGAAATACTCTGTTTTCTTTATGGGCTTTGGGTTTTTTGTTTTCTTCTTCTAAAAATATCCTCACATTACCAAAGTGTGGTCACTGTCCAATGTCTACAACTGGTGCTCATAAAGATAGTAGTACGTGAGAGAGCACACACACACACACACACACACACACACACACACACACACACACACACACA